TTGTGACGTCTCGCCAATCTGAGGCCTCACCCCTCACACAGACTCGTTGTCTCCTGTTGCTTAGGTATTCCTCTATCCACCGGAGTACCTTCCCTCTCACTCCAGCCTGCATCTCCAACTTTCGCACTAGCCTCTTGTGTGGTACTGTATCAAAGGCTTTCTGACAATCCAAAAATATGCAGTCTGCCCACCCTTCTCTTTCTTGCCTTATTTTTGTTGCCTGGTCGTAGAATTCAAGTAACCCTGTGAGGCAGGACCTGCCATCCCTGAACCCATGTTGATGCTGTGTTACAAAGTTCCTTCGCTCCAGATGCTCCACTAGTTTTTTTCGCACAATCTTCTCCATCAGCTTGCATGGTATGCAGGTTAGGGACACTGGCCTGTAGTTCAGTGCCTCCTGTCTATCCCTTTCTTGTATATCGGGACTACGTTAGCTGCTTTCCAAATATCTGGCAGTTCCCCTGTTGCCAGTGATTTGTTATACACTATGGAGAGTGGTAGGCTCAGTTCTCTTGCTCCTTCCTTTAGAACCCAAGGGGAGATTCCATCTGGGCCTATAGCCTTCGTCACGTCCAACTCTAGTAAACACTTCCTTACTTCCCCACTGGTAATCTCAAACTCTTCCAGTGGTTCCTGGTTAGCTATTCCCTCACTTACCTCTGGAATTTCTCCTTGTTCTAAGGTGAAGACCTCCTGGAATTTCTTATTCAATTCCTCACACACTTCCTTGTCATTTGTAGTGAATCCTTCCGCCCCTATCCTTAATCTCATAACCTGTTCCTTTACTGTTGTTTTTCTCCTAATGTGGCTATGCAACAATTTAGGCTGAGTCTTTGCCTTGCTTGCGATGTCATTTTCGTATTGTCTTTCAGCCTCTCTTCTCATCCTGACATATTCATTCCTGGCATTCTGGTATCTTTCTCTGCTCTCCAGTGTCCTGTTATTCCTATAGTTTCTCCATGCCCTTTTGCTTTGCTGCTTAGCTAGCCTACATCTTTGATTAAACCATGGGTTTCTCATCTTCATTTCTCTGTTTTCCTTTTGGACTGGGACAAACTTGTTTGCTGCGTCCTTGCACTTCTGCGTGATGTAATCCATCATATCTTGTGTGTGTGTGCGTGTGTGTGTGTGTGTGTGCGTGTGTGTGTGTGTGTGTGTGTGTGTGTGTGTGTGTGTGTGTGTGTGTGTGTGTGTGTGTGTGTGTGTGTGTGTGTGTGTGTGTGTGTGTGTGTGTGTGTGTGTGTGTGTGTGTGTGTGTGTGTGTGTGTGTGTGTGTGTGTGTGTGTGTGTGTACTCACCTAATTGTACTCACCTAATTGTGCTTGCGGGGGTTGAGCTTTGGCTCTTTGGTCCCGCCTCTCAACTGTCAATCAACTGGTGTACAGATTCCTGAAACTAGTGTACAAATTCCTGAAACACACACAGATTCCTGTGTGTGTGTGTGTGTGTGTGGAGACATACACACACACATACCTCCTGTGTGTGTGTGGGGGGGGGGATGGGGGAGACAGGGCCGGGGGTGAAGGGTGTCCAGGCGTCACCCTAGGCGTCAGGGGTCCCTAGGGGCGGGTTGGTCACCCCTGATAGTCACGCTTCTCATCTCTCTTACCATGAATTATGGGGAGGGGCAACAACCAACCAGTTTTAAAGGCATAAAAGACGAAGCAAGAGAGAGAGGAAGGAAGGAATCAGAGAGAGAAACAGCGAGGAAACACACAGAGAGGAAGAAACACATGTGAAGAACAACTTGTCTCACTAACAACCTCAGACGAAGGCCTGGAAATGTTGCAGAAATTCTGACTCAGTTGACCAGATTCACGAAAGCACTTACGCAACCACTTACGAACCTGTACATCTTTTGTCAATCTTTGGCGGCTTTGTTTCCAAATTATTAAACAGTTAATGAGCTCCGAAGCACCAGGAGGCTGTTTATAACAATAACAACAGTTGAATGGGAAGTTTTCATGCTTGTTAACGGATTATTAAATGTAACCAAAGCCGTCAAAGATTGAGAAAAGATGTACACGTTCGTAAGTGCTTTCGTGAATCTGGCCTCAGGTTTTTTAACCTTCGTATCATTACAGACTTGCCAATGGGTTACCCAATATGGTCCAATATGGCCACATACCTACTTTGTCAGACTGTCTAAATTATAGCCATCATCACCAGTCTTTTAAAAGACATCAACAGCGTGGCTTAAAAAAATAAAACTATGCGTAGATATTAGCAGAACAGTTGAAAAAGTCTAATATATTTTGTGTTTATTGTTCTGAGAGATAGTCTCATACCACCCATTATTTGGTACACTATCCCCACGGGGGTATGGGTACCACATTGGGAATAGGGTAATACCTCCTCGGTTATGAACCCCCAATTTAGGCTATCAATTTTAACTGGAATATTGGAAGATGAAGGAGTGGTGGTCAGTATTGGTTGGGTTACACACACCAGTGGTGGTCACTACTGGTTGGGTTACACGCACCAGTGGTGGTCACTACTGGTTGGGTTACACACACCAGTGGTGGTCACTACTGGTTGGGTTACACACACACCAGTGGTGGTCACTATTGGTTGGGTTACACACACACCAGTGGTGGTCACTACTGGTTGGGTTACACGCACCAGTGGTGGTCACTACTGGTTGGGTTACACACACCAGTGGTGGTCACTACTGGTTGGGTTACACGCACCAGTGGTGGTCACTACTGGTTGGGTTACACACACCAGTGGTGGTCACTACTGGTTGGGTTACACGCACCAGTGGTGGTCACTACTGGTTGGGTTACACGCACCAGTGGTGGTCACTACTGGTTGGGTTACACGCACCAGTGGTGGTCACTACTGGTTGGGTTACACACACACCAGTGGTGGTCACTACTGGTTGGGTTACACGCACCAGTGGTGGTCACTACTGGTTGGGTTACACACACACCAGTGGTGGTCACTACTGGTTGGGTTACACACACCAGTGGTGGTCACTACTGGTTGGGTTACACACACCAGTGGTGGTCACTACTGGTTGGGTTACACACACACCAGTGGTGGTCACTACTGGTTGGGTTACACACACCAGTGGTGGTCACTACTGGTTGGGTTACACGCACCAGTGGTGGTCACTACTGGTTGGGTTACACGCACCTGTGGTGGTCACTACTGGTTGGGTTACACGCACCAGTGGTGGTCACTACTGGTTGGGTTACACGCACCAGTGGTGGTCACTACTGGTTGGGTTACACGCACCAGTGGTGGTCACTACTGGTTGGGTTACACGCACCAGTGGTGGTCACTACTGGTTGGGTTACACGCACCAGTGGTGGTCACTACTGGTTGGGTTACACGCACCAGTGGTGCTCACTACTGGTTGGGTTACACGCACCAGTGGTGGTCACTACTGGTTGGGTTACACGCACCAGTGGTGGTCACTACTGGTTGGGTTACACACACCAGTGGTGGTCACTACTGGTTGGGTTACACACACCAGTGGTGGTCACTACTGGTTGGGTTACACACACCAGTGGTGGTCACTACTGGTTGGGTTACACACACCAGTGGTGGTCACTACTGGTTGGGTTACACACACCAGTGGTGGTCACTACTGGTTGGGTTACACGCACCAGTGGTGGTCACTACTGGTTGGGTTACACGCACCAGTGGTGGTCACTACTGGTTGGGTTACACGCACCAGTGGTGGTCACTACTGGTTGGGTTACACACACACCAGTGGTGGTCACTACTGGTTGGGTTACACACACACCAGTGGTGGTCACTACTGGTTGGGTTACACGCACCAGTGGTGGTCACTACTGGTTGGGTTACACGCACCAGTGGTGGTCACTACTGGTTGGGTTACACGCACCAGTGGTGGTCACTTCTGGTTGGGTTACACGCACCAGTGGTGGTCACTACTGGTTGGGTTACACGCACCAGTGGTGGTCACTACTGGCTGGGTTACACGCACCAGTGGTGGTCACTACTGGCTGGGTTACACGCACCAAGGAGAGACAAGCACAGACATCAACTAAACAATAGTCAATTAACAAATTAAGATGTGAACAAGACTTATGAGTCTTGATGAATCTCGATGAATAAAGGTTTGAAACAAGGCTGTTTTAGAGTCCTAGGATCACTATTCACAAGTGTTGCAATTGTTATCCAGATTTTCTTTTAATATTCATCCTTATCTCTAATATCTCCTATAAGCAAACAGTGGAAAGTGTTAAGAACTGGATAAGTATAAGTTTGGGGGGGATAAGGACGTAAGGGGGAGTGGTTAGAAGGTCATGGATAATATCTGTAGTTTTGAGTCAACTTCACCAAACTTTGCAAGGTGACTGGGAGGTGTGTAGGGACGGTCATAGGAGGGGTCTCGATCGGACCGTTTGCCTCCCTTGAAGGGGAATCGATCCCGGTGTTCCACTTCATGAAGTCGGTCTAGTTGAAATATTCGGCGCCGAGTCCGTGGAGTTTTTATTCGCCCACCTTCCAACACCTGTGATGTGATGTTTATTTTACCGTGCTTCTCTCGCAGGGCGCATGGGTGAGACACCTCCGCCAGCAGGAGCCACAGCATGCCACACACAGGTCAGTGGTCACTTCAAGTACTACGTTAAAAAATCATCCTCATTCATATATATATATATAGCAAAGTCTCCCTCTCCTGTATCTATCATCTGGACGGTTGAGCGACGGTCTTGCTTCTTGCAATTCAGCGTTCGATTTCCGATAGTCCAAGAGGTTGGGTACAACTCTTTCCTTCCCATACTATCCCAGCTCCTTGTCCTCACATTCCTTCCAAGTGCTGTAGAGTCATACTGGCTAGGCGATCCCTTCTGATCCTTCGCGATCCTTACCTTACATCCCAGCTGTGGATATTCCACCACTTTTGGGCTGGTTGGTGCTTGTCCCCACTACTTTGTCCTGTTACTGATACTAAAACATCATAGTTTCCCCTTCATGAATCCACCATTCTTCTTCTCAGCTTATTCATCACTAACCTTGTACGTCAATGACCTCATGTGACCTTGTTGCTTGCCCCAGGCCAGGCAGGGGTCAACCAGCTGGGGGGAGTGTTCGTGAACGGACGTCCCCTGCCCGACTACGTCCGTCGACGGATCGTGGAGATGGCGCTGATGGGGGTCCGTCCCTGTGACATCTCCAGGCAGCTGCTGGTCTCCCACGGCTGTGTCTCCAAGATCCTCACCCGCTTCTACGAGACGGGCTCCATCAAGCCGGGCTCCATAGGCGGCAGCAAGCCCAAGGTAGGTCAAGGGGACTTGGCTGGGCCTTGAGCCAGGTTAGAGGTGGGACAGGACGAGTGGGTGTAGACCTTCATGGGGTCCATGGCAGATGTAACCTCTCACCTTGAATACATTTCCCACTATAGCCAGGTGTGGCCTATGGTTTCACGCCCGTGCAGCCACCCAAAATGCAGTTACACCGTCTCTACACCTCGGTGGCTTCTAGGAACATACAAACAATAAACCAACCACACGCGGCAAGGTCCCCCTCAATAAAGTCACCAATTTTAATGAGTCTCCCCTGAGGAGCTAAGAGCGGCCTTGTCTCGTTTTCTATTAGCAGTTTGGTGGGTGTCGCCGCAAGAGGTCCGTCCCAGGTAATTATTAAGGGGGGACTTAAAAAGACTTGTCGAGGACCTCCTGTTACCGTCATGTTCTCTGTCGCACGAAAAAATCTATTTAAACTCTACGGGCCTCCCGCGCGGTACATAATTTTTTGTCATTTAACTTTTGATGGAGCAAAGCTTCATCATTTTTTAAATTTTTATTTTAACTTCAAAAGCAACATTGTAATGTTCATAGATATTTACCTATTGAATCAATCCACTAGGGCCGTGACGAGGATTCGAACCTACGTCTGAGAACATCCCAGACGCTGCCTTAATCGACTGAGCTACGACATGGTAAAAGAATTGCAACCAGAAGTTCTACTGAACTTGGATCCTGCAGCCTCTCCGAGACTCCGAGTCTGGGATGCTCTCGGACGCAGGTTCGAATCCTCGTCACGGCCCTTGTGGATTTGTTCATTTGATGCATCACGCTATTGTGATTTCTGTGTGTATTTACCTATTTGTCTTCCCAACATCTCGATCTTTCTCCCGTTCTCAACTTGAGTACCTTGCACTTGTTGGGGTTGAACTTAAAGAGCCATTTGTCTGGCCACCTCTGGAGTTGCTTAAGGTCCACCAGTAACTCTGCGGTCCTCTTAGGTGCTCAAATTCCTCTGCAGCTTTGTGTAATCTGCAAACATTGACTCTATAGGTTCATTCTTTCGGGTAGATCATTCACAGAGGTTTGGAAGAGCGTTAAATTTCTCTTCCCCCTCCCTTTCCCACAGCAAGTGGCCACGCCCACTAACACCCTCCCCCCCCCCACAGCAAGTGGCCACGCCCACTAACACCCTCCTCCCTCCCACAGCAAGTGGTCACGCCCACTAACACCCTCCCCCCCCCCTCCCACAGCAAGTGGTCATGCCCACTAACACCCTCCCCCCCCCACAGCAAGTGGTCACGCCCACTAACACCCTCCTCCCTCCCACAGCAAGTGGTCACGCCCACTTACACCCTCCCCCCCCCCTCCCACAGCAAGTGGTCATGCCCACTAACACCCTCCTCCCTCCCACAGCAAGTGGTCACGCCCACTAACACCCTCCTCCCTCCCACAGCAAGTGGTCACGCCCACTAACACCCTCCTCCCTCCCACAGCAAGTGGTCACGCCCACTAACACCCTCCTCCCTCCCACAGCAAGTGGTCACGCCCACTAACACCCTCCTCCCTCCCACAGCAAGTGGCCACGCCCACGGTGGTGAAGAAGATCCTGCGGCTGAAGCAGGACAACCCCGGCATGTTCGCGTGGGAGATCAGGGAGCAGCTGTCGTGTCAGCGGGTGTGTGAAGCTGCGGCTCTGCCCTCCGTCTCCTCCATCAACCGCATCCTCCGCAACTCTGGCCTCTGGACCCCGCACGAGGCTGCGGCGGCGGCTGCGGCGGCCTCCACTGCGGCCCCACACTCCGCCGCACACACGCCCGCAGCCGCCCATGCCGTTGTCACGGCCGCAGTCGCCGCTGCCGCAGCTGCTGGGGGTGAGTGATCCTTGTGTAGTTGTGGGCGTGCAGGTCCTCTGGCCCAGGGTCACCAGTCACCCTCAGGGTCACCCTAAGGATCACCAGTCACCCTCAGGGTCACCAGTCACCCTCAGGGTCACCTTAAGAGTCACCAGTCACCCTAAGGGTCACCAGTCACCCTCAGGGTCACCCTAAGGGTCACCAGTCACCCTCAGGGTCACCCTAAGGGTCACCAGTCACCCTAAGGGTCACTAGTCACCCTCAGGGTCACCCTAAGGGTCACCAGTCACCCTCAGGATCACTCTAAGGGTCAACAGTCACTCTCAGGGTCACCCTAAGGGTCACCAGTCACCCTCAGGGTCACCCTCAGGGTCATCAGTCACCCTCAGGGTCACCTTAAGGGTCACCCTAAGGGTCGCCAGTCACTCTCAGGGTCACCTTAAGGGTCACCAGTCATCCTCAGGGTCACCAGTCACCGTTAGGGTCACCTTAAGGGTCACCCTAAGGGTCACCAGTCACTCTCAGGGTCACCAGTCACCCTCAGGGTCACCTTAAGGGTCACCCTAAGGGTCACCAGTCACCGTCAGGGTCACCTTAAGGGTCACCAGTCACCCTCAGGGTCACCAGTCACCCTCAGGGTCACCAGTCACCCTCAGGGTCACCAATCACCCTCAGGGTCATCCTAAGGGTCACCAGTCACTCTCAGGGCCACCAGTCACCCTCAGGGTCACCTTAAGGGTCACCAGTCACCCTCAGGGTCACCAGTCACCCTCAAGGTCACCTTAAGGGTCACCAGTCACCCTCAGGGTCACCAGTCACCCTCAGGGTCACCAGTCACCCTCAAGGTCACCTTAAGGGTCACCAGTCACCCTCAGGGTCACCAGTGACCATCAGGGTCACCCTAAGGATCACCAGTCACTCTCAGGGGCCGAGGGTGACCTAAAGGTCACCAGTCACCCTCAGCGTCACCCTAAGGGTCACCAGTCACCCTCATGGGCCGAGGGTGACCTAAGGGTCACCAGTCATCCTCAGGGGTCACCCTAAGGGTCACCAGTCACCCTCAGGGTCACCCTAAGGAAAACCAGTCACTCTCAGGGGCCGAGGGTGACCTGAAGGTCACCAGTCATCCTCAGGAGTCACCCTCAGTCACCCTCAGGGTCACCCTCAGTCACCCCTCAGGGTCACCCTCAGTCACCCCTCAGGGTCACCCTCAGTCACCCTCAGGGTCACCCTCAGTCACCCTCAGGGTCACCTTCAGTCACCCCTCAGGGTCACCCTCAGTCACCCTCAGGGTCACCCTCAGTCACCCTCAGGGTCACCCTCAGTCACCCGCGCGTCACTGGAACTAAAAATCAATCAAGCGCGGGAACTTCCAAAAACAAAAGAAATGCAAATGGCGTCGCGCGGGAAAACAAAAGACGGGTCGCCGGTATCTGCATCTAAATTCGCCCACGTTTTCACTGGATTTGGTCGCTTTTCACGGCGGATTACGCGAGTACTGGCGATTGACTCGCTGGCGCCTCTCCGCGAGTCTACCAGCGCGAGCTTGAAACACGGAAAAAAAAAGAGTATGATTTATTTGTATTTAATGGGTAACTAGCCTAAGATGGAAGGACGGGGAAACGGCGTCGGACCTCCGGGTGTGACGCAGCCATGGCGGCCGTCCCAAGTTATCTTCGGCAGGAAATCTCATTATCCTCGATGCTTTGCTGTGATTAATTAAGATTCTAGGGTGGCCGTAAATTAAGAATGAATTAAGAGAGATTAAAGTTTTGGACACTTGAGAGAGAGGGGGGGGGGCAAGGGGAGAAGGGAAGCCGTCGTGATAACAAGATATCCGGTGGGATGGAAATCTCTGGCGCTCTCCGGGTGAATTAAAGACTATTGGAATTCACGCCACCACACCTCTCCTTTGTGGAATTTCGGAAATAATTGTGTCATTATGGACGACTTCGCTGACAGTGATTAATAGCCTCGTTAATGGCCACTTAAACTCGTGCAATTACATTGTTTTTTTTCAAACATCAATATTTTCAAATAGTATTGGAACGTGATTAGAGATTACATATGATTAGTTCTGGTTCCTATGATGATATTTCATTCGAGTGTTTTACTGTGTAAATATTTGATTTTGGATTTAAGTTTGTGACAAAAATATGTGTGATGTTATGAGATATATTTATTCATAGGGATACAATGTGTGATATATCTACCTAAACTCGTTCACACATGTCTGACCTTCGCTTGAAACAATCCACACGTTTATTATCAAACTACCTATCGCAAGGAAGTTTAAGGACTACCTGCTTTTTGACAGCGACGGGGCCCAAAATGTTTATTGTTGTTTCAGATTGAGCTACTCAGAACGAAGTGTCCATGTAGCACGGGCTATGGTGAGCCCGTAGGGACCCAAGAGGCGAAGGATTAGTTTACACGACCTGCCACGACCGAGCTCTCAATCACCGGCTATTCATGCCCGTGTCACCTCTCGTGTTCGGGCTCACCATAGCCCGTGCTACTTGGAACTTTCTTCCAGGTAGCGAATCTTTAACAACAAGAACAACAACCTCTCGTGGTGGCTTAATCTTCATCAATCAATCAATCGGTGAAGCACGGGAGACATCTCCCGTCACGCAGGGTGCAGTCGCACCTCCACAGATCTCCAGTATCAGCTCTTGATACTGGTAATGGCTCAAAAGGGCCACCACTTACGGGCTATTCATGCCCGTGCCACCTTTTGGCTGGCTTAATCTTCATCAATCAATCAATCAATCGGTGGAGCTTCCTCAATGTTTACGTCGCCATCTTGGGAAGACAGTCCACATTTACCCCACATATAAAGCTGTGTAACCTAGTAAGCCACAAACATACATGAGTGCAGGCGATGAGTCACAATAACGTGGCTAAAGTAATTTGACCAGACCACACACTAGGTGAAGGGACGACGACGTTTCGGTCTGTCCTGGACCATTCTCACAATCGACTTGAGAATGGTCCAGGACGGACCGAAACGTCGTCGTCCCTTCACCTTCTAGTGTGTGGTCTGGTCAACATACACGAGTGGAAAGCGTTGATCAAGCGGGAAAGTTGAGCTTAAGGTCATAAGAGAACCAGGAAAGCCATTAGTTTAGAGATGCAAATGAGTTTGATGTTTGAGGACGGTCGGTGCACATTGGTGCCTGGGACGGACGGTGCACATTGGTGCCTGGGACGGACGGTGCACATTGGTGCCTGGGACGGACGGTGCACATTGGTGCCTGGGACGGACGGTGCACATTGGTGCCTGGGACGGACGGTGCACATTGGTGTCTGGGACGGTCGGTGCACATTGGTGCCTGGGACGGTCGGTGCACATTGGTGCCTGGGACGGACGGTGCACATTGGTGCCTGGGACGGACGGTGCACATTGGTGCCTGGGACGGACGGTGCACATTGGTGCCTGGGACGGACGGTGCACATTGGTGCCTGGGACGGTCGGTGCACATTGGTGTCTGGGACGGTCGGTGCACATTGGTGTCTGGGACGGACGGTGCACATTGGTGTCTGGGACGGACGGTGCACATTGGTGCCTGGGACGGTCGGTGAACATTGGTGTCTGGGACGGTCGGTGCACATTGGTGTCTGGGACGGTCGGTGCACATTGGTGTCTGGGACGGACGGTGCACATTGGTGTCTGGGACGGTCGGTGCACATTGGTGTCTGGGACGGTCGGTGCACATTGGTGTCTGGGACGGTCGGTGCACATTGGTGTCTGGGACGGACGGTGCACATTGGTGTCTGGGACGGACGGTGCACATTGGTGTCTGGGACGGACGGTGCACATTGGTGTCTGGGACGGTCGGTGCACATTGGTGCCTGGGACGGACGGTGCACATTGGTGTCTGGGACGGTCGGTGCACATTGGTGCCTGGGACGGACGGTGCACATTGGTGTCTGGGACGGACGGTGCACATTGGTGTCTGGGACGGTCGGTGCACATTGGTGCCTGGGACGGTCGGTACACATTGGTGTCTGGGACGGTCGGTGCACATTGGTGTCTGGGACGGTCGGTGCACATTGGTGTCTGGGACGGACGGTGCACATTGGTGCCTGGGACGGTCGGTGAACATTGGTGTCTGGGACGGTCGGTGCACATTGGTGTCTGGGACGGTCGGTGCACATTGGTGTCTGGGACGGACGGTGCACATTGGTGTCTGGGACGGTCGGTGCACATTGGTGTCTGGGACGGACGGTGCACATTGGTGTCTGGGACGGTCGGTGCACATTGGTGTCTGGGACGGACGGTGCACATTGGTGTCTGGGACGGACGGTGCACATTGGTGTCTGGGACGGACGGTGCACATTGGTGTCTGGGACGGTCGGTGCACATTGGTGCCTGGGACGGACGGTGCACATTGGTGTCTGGGACGGTCGGTGCACATTGGTGCCTGGGACGGACGGTGCACATTGGTGTCTGGGACGGACGGTGCACATTGGTGTCTGGGACGGTCGGTGCACATTGGTGTCTGGGACGGTCGGTGCACATTGGTGTCTGGGACGGACGGTGCACATTGGTGTCTGGGACGGTCGGTGCACATTGGTGTCTGGGACGGACGGTGCACATTGGTGTCTGGGACGGTCGGTGCACATTGGTGTCTGGGACGGACGGTGCACATTGGTGTCTGGGACGGACGGTGCACATTGGTGTCTGGGACGGACGGTGCACATTGGTGTCTGGGACGGTCGGTGCACATTGGTGCCTGGGACGGACGGTGCACATTGGTGTCTGGGACGGTCGGTGCACATTGGTGCCTGGGACGGACGGTGCACATTGGTGTCTGGGACGGACGGTGCACATTGGTGTCTGGGACGGTCGGTGCACATTGGTGCCTGGGACGGTCGGTACACATTGGTGTCTGGGACGGTCGGTGCACATTGGTGTCTGGGACGGTCGGTGCACATTGGTGTCTGGGACGGTCGGTGCACATTGGTGTCTGGGACGGTCGGTGCACATTGGTGTCTGGGACGGTCGGTGCACATTGGTGTCTGGGACGGTCGGTACACATTGGTGTCTGGGACGGTCGGTACACATTGGTGTCTGGGACGGTCGGTACACATTGGTGCCTGGGACGGTCGGTGCACATTGGTGTCTGGGACGGTCGGTGCACATTGGTGTCTGGGACGGTCGGTACACATTGGTGTCTGGGACGGTCGGTACACATTGGTGTCTGGGACGGTCGGTGCACATTGGTGCCTGGGACGGTCGGTACACATTGGTGTCTGGGACGGTCGGTACACATTGGTGTCTGGGACGGTCGGTACACATTGGTGTCTGGGACGGTCGGTACACATTGGTGTCTGGGACGGTCGGTACACATTGGTGTCTGGGACGGTCGGTGCACATTGGTGTCTGGGACGGTCGGTACACATTGGTGTCTGGGACGGTCGGTACACATTGGTGTCTGGGACGGTCGGTGCACATTGGTGCCTGGGACGGT